AACTTAGTAATTAAATACAATTTAATGTTAAAGAGGAAACAATCCAACAGTATTTTAAGTTGTTTATATTTGCTCCAGTGTGTCTACAATATCAAAATGCTGCTTGCACATTAAAATGCATCGTATAATAATATAATATATAATATAATAACCTTATATGTATACAGTTTTTTTTCACATATGACCTTATATGATCAGTTGCAAAATGTTACTTCATATACATTGACATATGAAGTATATATGTTTATTACTTAGTATGAATTCACATGTTGACATGTATTACGAATAATCATGCTCATTAGATATAGGACTCAAGCTGATATAATGATAATCATACAGGTTCATTCCTTATGGTGAAGCGGCTTGGCTTGTTTTACGCTGACTCTAAGTGTCGTACTGTAGATTTCCTTTTCAAGTCTTCAGTGTTTCCCAAGTGGAGCCACTAGGGGGCGTCAGTGTGTTTAAAATGTGACAGTTCAGCTGCTGCTTTGTTGCCTGAGGTTTTGAAGTTGTAGAAGTTTATTTTTGTGCGTATTTTATGACTGTGTTTTATAACAGTGTGAATGTTTCTAACCCTGTTTCATTGTCATATTGTCACTTTGAATCCAATGGCCCACTGGAGTGGAAGCTGCATCTCCTCTGACAGTGCTTCAGTCAAATAAACAGGACTTTGACTAAATCCATATGTTTTGATGAAGTTTTTACAACAAAATTTCAGCAGAATGTGTCTTTACCTGTCAGGGTCTAATCTGAGTGGGTTCGTCTGGTTTTACATCTGCTTGGATTGGCCACATGAGGGAGGTATAGACCTGCATAAAACCTGCCTGTCTTCAGCATGTTTGGGGGTCTGTTTGAAATTAGGTGCCATGCCAGCATAACAAGATCACACATGATCATCTGCAGCCGACCCAACTTGAAGTAAGTCCAACTTTGCAGAAGGATTTCATGTTCTGCTTCCATCGGTATCAGACTCTGCTGCTCTCACAGTGACACTTCGGTTTCAGTTGCTCGTAAACAGAAATCTGTTTATTCTCCCATGAAGCTATTGATCTTTTATTTATTTCGTGATTACCTTTTAGTCATGTGAGAGGGGGCAGGCCAAGACATTCCACCTGTCAGATCCAATTTCCTGAAAGTTTTGATTGACCTCTCCAACACAGAAACAATGCAGCTGCAAAGATTTGATCATTTCCTTCCAAAGAACCTGAGGAGTTTCCATTGTTCCCTCTTCTTTCCTCTCTTGATCGAGATGTTAGATCAGCTTATTTGTCTGGCATGTGGTTCATTTTCTCCATTTAGGTCTCTTCTGAAATGTAGCCAGCCTGATGGACTCAGACCACAAAGATTAGACTCTTTAGTATTCAAGCCAATATTTGTGATGACAGCTACACCTTCCAGGAAAGAGGGAGCCGATATCCAATGTTAAACAGCATTGATCTTATTCTGTAAAAGCAGTCTGCAGTGGTGGTGCTTTCTCTATCCCAACGTGCAGCTGCTCCTCGGTCAAGGACAAGAGTTTGAGAAAATTATAGAAAACCTTTCAATTAAAGAAATGTAATTGTTATATTTTAGTGCTGTGTTTGTTGCAGGTTTGGTCGTTGAATGATATTTTTTATTGTTGTTTGTTGTATTACCTTTTCTGTGTGCAGGGCTCTCATCATTTTTGGGGTCCTCTTAGGTAAAGGGCCCTCACCACAGTCTTGCAACACCTGGAACCAATACAGTTGTGCTGGCTATCTGTGGGACCAGGGGGCTTGGAGGTTGTAGGCTGGGTTCAGGGGGGAGGCGAGGGGTTGGGCTAGTTGCTGCTTTGGCCCTGGGGGTCCATGTGTCCCTGACTTCAAAATAGACTTGATTGCTAACAGCTGGTAGTCCTAACTCACCCAGTGTCAGAGCTCTCCTCTGATGTCAACCTTGTCAGTATCAAGGCCCGGACAACGGAGGGCCAGCAGCACGGCAAAGGTAGAGAGGTGGACTGTGGCCCTGTGAAATGAGATTCAGAGAGTGGCCCTTTTTATATATATATATATATATATATGAAGGTTGTTACTATAAATAACTTTCAAGTTTTTGCAGCACACACTGAAGACCACCATGAAAATCTGATATTTAAGTTGAGTGCATGCTGAACGAAGAGCCTGCAATCACAGCTGACATCAGCACAAAACAAATATACAAAGACTGAACAAATTCTTCATGAATGCATCAATTCACCATCTACAAACTGTGGTTTACATTATAGCTGCAGACATTTGACATTATCACATTATTTAAAATGTGTTATAAGGTAAATTAATCCTATATAACCTTAACTAGTTTATAAACCCAACTATATACAGGTAATATTCTGATAATTAACATGTATATCTTTCAATTATTCCAATTATTGTGAAATGTACTTTCAGTATCACTTTTTATTAGAGCTGTATTGCGGTGAGGAAAGTGTGACAGAGCTGTGTCCTCCTACTCACTGCCACAGTATGAGTAAATAGGACAGCAGCTCATTAGCATCTTTTATTATCCAATTACAAACTCTGCTCGCCTAATTACCTCCAATCAGCAGGGAGAAGAAAATGATTGACTTCCTGGAGGAAAGACATCGCTCAGGACAAAAAGGACAAATGGGTTTTCAGTCTCTTACTGGAAGTGACTCACCCAAAGTCAGTCTATGGGAGTATATGGACGTAGGAGGCAGCTACTGTTCGGATGTTTCAGAAATTAATGATCACATATACCATCGCAGTGTAACAACCTGATGCTCGTATGAAAACACCTTTCAGACTCCAGCTGGGGCATTATCAATACTAGGTGTTTTACTCGTGAAAAGGTTTGATAACTGTGGTGTGAAAGTAGGTGAAAATAAGTCTCCCCTCATATTCCAATGTGACATTTCCACATGGTCTATTCTACTTACACAAGGTTATGTTGTTCTGTGGATTATGTTATTGAGTTTGTGACAGGAAAAGATAGGATATAATTTTCAAACAGCTGCAGAAACGATTATCCTTCATCAGAGGATGAAGGGCAGCCACTGCACAAGGTTGCGCTTATAACAGAGCTATGCATCATTATTAGACAATTAATTACTCTGTCATCAACACCACCAGCACCACTGCTCTACTGGGATTCAGACGCAGATGTTTTTCGAACTCTGCTTTGACACCACTATCCATAACTGGGCTGCGATGAATCCCGTTTCAGGCTTCGGCTAAACTTTGGCTTCTTCGCACAGAGTTGGTCAGATTTACTTCTTCTTCTCTCAGTTAGTTTTGAGTCTTTGAAAGATGTCAGGAAAGGCCAGAAATAGCACAGGGCAGGCCGCTGGGACGGGCTGTTGTTTACAGACAGTGACAGGGATGAAGGACCTCTGTGCTCTGGTGCTGGGCCCGAAGCCTCAGGGGTGTACTAGCTTCTGCTTCTGCTGCCGCTCTGGACACTGCAACACACCGCACACACAAAAACACGCAAACATGAAGGCCGACTAACTGATGTGCACGTGGACACACAAAATACATACAGTACATCTTTGTGTTTCTCTTTCACACAGACACACACACACATTCTTTCTGGTCTTCTTACAACACACACTTGTTTTTAACTCTAACAGCAGCGCACCTTCATCTGAACCATTATGTCGCCGGTTGATTTTTTTCATATTGCCTTTACCTGCCGGCTACACAAGCTTACAGTGAGAAGTCAATCCAAGCTGATGTTAGAACAAGACCAAAACCTCATGATGTATTCTAGTGTGTTTATACGTTAAAACGATTTAGCAATCAGTTTAAGTAACCGTGCTGACCTCAACACCGGGGTCAAGCCAGGCTACAGACACTGAGACGGTGGTAAGCACCAGCATCGTGTAGTTCCTGCACTCTGGTCAATTGCGGTACCTTGAAAAAAACAAAAACAAAGAGACATAACCGCAGTGCAGTATTGACAAATTCTGTTTAATATTGTGTGATACTCTTCTCTTAAAATACAGTCTTTTCTGAGGTAGACCATTACAGTTCAAGAACATTATTATCATTTTTAAAACAGACATCAAAAAAGACATGAAATAAATACTTTCATGTACAATATGCCGCAAAAATGAGGTAGAAATGGTTACAGAAAATGTACAATAACCAAGGACAAAGTTACCGCAATAACAGATCAAAACATGTAAAAAATAAAAGCTTGTTTTGTTGGACAAACTGTGGGGAGTGGTGGGAACAACAATGAATCAAAATATTGTAGCTACTTGTACCTCTCAGTTATCGTTATTATTTAGTTCCTGTAATTACATGTGAATAATTGCTCGTATCATGGAGACGCTGCCGCTTGAGGCAGGGGTTGCTCTTTAATTTATAAATGTGTTTTCAGTTTCTGAGACAGTGATCAGTATGCACAGCGGGGGTCACTCTGATTGATCTGGCTGTATGGCATGACTGAAGCCACCAGCTGGGGAGAGAAGGCTGCAGTGTGATATAGGGTTGCTGGACATCAATCAGACCACTTCCACTCCCGAGGAATCGGTGTAAGGGGAGGGGGGTGGGGGGAGAGGACACAACGCCACATGGCCACCGGGGCTCGTGGCCAGGGGGCAATCCAATCTAATGAGACTGCACTGGGGAGAGAGAGAAAAAGAGAAAAAGGATGATGATGAGGGAGGGAGGGAGGGAGGGAGGGAGGAAGGGACAGAGGGGGAGGAAAGGGCGGGAGGAAATATTACATCATTCTGTGTATACCTCCTCAGGACCATGGCAACAGTCTAACACGAGCGACCTCTGTACCTGCCGTCCAGTGACCAGCTTTTTCCAGCTTGTTAAAACAGAACTGTAGCACTGCTGCAAAAGGAGCGACTTGTCTGGATTGTCTACATGTTGGGTTCATCCACAATATGTACACATGAACTGAAGCTCTGGACTTTGGGATTTGCTGAAAGCTACACACAACAACTGTTTTTTTGTTTTGTTTTTTTTTTTGTTTTTGGGTTTTTTTTTTTTTGCATCTGTGTTTTTCTATGTCGTTTTTTTAGAAGGTATTTTGTGCTCAGAGGTTCGGTGTGAGTGCGCGTGTATGATTGTGTGTGTTATATTTACATTTTCAGCTGTAAAACTATAGACAGCACACATGCATATACAGAATATGTAAACACTACATAACAGCGATCTGCAAGCAGTTTGTCCAACAAAAAAAGGAATATTTTCTGTATTCTAGCATTTCTTGAAGACAATCATCACTCCACCATAAACTACAATAAAAATCAAAGGTAAAAGAACAGAAAAGAAAATTGTATTTATATATTCATATATAATAATACATGGATTTATGGCATCAAATATCCTTTGAAATACCTGAATTACATTCAATGTTACTCTTTGTAGCATATTCAAGTTTCTCTCCCGAGGTAAAAGCCCAGCTGCAGTGGGTGTTACAAGACTGTCAGGTTTCTCCTCGCTCCTTTATCTCGCTCCGCGACACTCCCTACTAAGACCCTAAGATTACATACATTCTTTATTTCATATTTCTGAGGTAAAGAAATTCTTCCTGAGCATTTCAAACAAGACTACATACTAAGAAAACAAAAGGAGTAAGTGAAATAGAAAACAGACACGCTGTAGGAGAAGCTGGGTGTGCAGGTTAAGTGTTGCTCTGTGAGTGTGATTCTCAGGAAAACTGCACTCGATGAGGAATGTGAGATCGAGAACAAACTCGTGGAAGTCCACAACGACAATCCAAAAATAACAAAATAAGCTGTCTGTGAATCGTACCATTCGAAGTGTGAGTATATTTATACGAAGATACGTGTAAAAGTATTTCTACAACCAAACATGTCGAGTGTAACTGCGAGGTTTCACTTGGACAACTGAACTCCTGGCGAGGGACAGCCACATGGTCGGATTTAATAAATGTGATTACATTTTCTTTTCTTTCCCAGAAGAGTGAGGACTAACTGCTGCGTCATGATTTGGTAACAAGCTATCGAGAATATTAATATATTGTGATTTTGAGGACCAGTCTGTTTTGAGAAATAGAACAGTACTGCTGATTATGCATTTGGTTTGACATGTTTTTGGTCAAAGACTGGTTTGCTGAAATGTTGCTGATCCCGAGCCCTTCGTACTTAATGATTAGTGACAATCCAATGACTAAATCAACATTAGGATAACATGGAAGTGGACTGGCAATAAATACGATCCTGAGAGTAGCAGTCAAAGGGGGTATTTTCCAAACCCTGATTATCCATAATCTTGGACCACGTCACCTAGCAACAAATAATTGATTTTGTCCTGGACCAAGGCTAATCAGGATCTCTGAGAGTATCCAAATAGCTATCTGATTCTCCCATTGGCCAAACGACTAATACACTACCCCACTCAGCAAGGCTTGTTCATCTTTCTTTTCTTTGGGAAAAATAAAATATTGCGGATATTCATAGCAAAACAAAAACAGTACACCATGGCATGCTTCTGCCAGTAAAACAACTCTGTCAGCTCTCCTGTATCGTTGAGCTTCTCTGGCTCTTTTGGCTTCATAATCTGTAATTACAAAACAACAACAAAACATTCCCAAGGCTTGCCATGTCAGAACAAAGACACGTTCGTAGTGCAGTCCGAGTTCAGTGACTGGCTGCTTTCTCAGTGGCTATACATCTTGCTCCACTCTGTACAAGTGTCCAGTTCTTTTGCGGTGGTGTGTGGGCACACCTTGCAGAAGGCATTCTCAAAGTCTGTGAAGGCTGGGGGTTTGGAGGATGTGGGGAGACCATGCATGGCTCCATTGGGGGAGGCCGCAGAGGAGAGCGCCTGCTGGCTGAGCTGCAGCAGCTCCCACACCGAGAAGCCCTCAGAGCGCTGAAGCACAGCGCTCAGCTCCCTCTCGCTCAGGCTGCAGCCCTGGGGCGACAGCGCCTGCAGCAGCACTTGCCTACGCATGCCCACATCTGGCAGGCCGACGTGATATCGCTTGGCAAAGCTCCGATGAACTGCTTCTTGCAGCAGATCTGGCCTGCCAGTGGCACACACAAGAATCACCAGACCTGTGGTCCCCACCTGGGCTTTCTCCAGGGTGGTCAACAGTGTCTGCCTCAGCCCCTCCTCTTCCATGGCCTCCACCTGGCTGAGCAGCACCACTGAGGGCTGCCGCGCCCCTGCCACCTGCAGCAGAGACCCCAGAATGTGCTCTGCCTCAGCCTTCCCTTTAGAGGCCAGCATGGCTCCACTCAGCCGGTAGAAGGAAGCCCCCAGCTGTGAAGCCAAAGAACGAGTCAACGTCGTCTTGCCCCCTCCCCGGGGGCCAAACAGCAGGACGGTTCTTGGTGGCCGCACCACTGGACTGGGCCTTAACACAGGCCACAGCAGGTCCTCCTCCAGGGCAGTCTTGACATGGGTGAGCCCGGCTAGCTCACCCCAGCCCAGGGCTGGGCTGCAGTCTAATAACTCCCCATTAACAAGGTCCAGCAGTCGGGGATCTGGACTCTTCATAGTCTCAACAGTTGGCCCACACAGTGGAGGTCGTTTGTGGGCCTGGGAGCGATGCTGCTGCTGCTGCTGCTGCTGCTGCTGCTGCTGTTGGGTGAAGCCCTGCTCTGCCACGCCATTCTCCCCCGTCATACCCGCTGGAGGGCTGTACTCCCCTGCTGCCCCATACTGAGGAGACACCAGGGGCTGGGAGGAGGGCTTACTGGGCTTGAAGGTTTGAGGGTCTGTGCTGCCTGAACTGCTGAAGCCGTTTCCTCGGCACTCTGTTTTGTCATTCACACTGTAGGGTGAGTTTCCTCCGGCCTTCAACGGATCGTAGCTATATTTCCTGTAACGAGAGCCATCCCCTCCCTCATCCTTTTCTACAGTCATCTCGAATGCTTTTCTTTTTAATGTCCCTCCAGACTCAGATGTCCCAAGGTTGGTGCTCTGGTAACCATAGCTGCCTCCTACCACTGTGGGCCTGGAGGGCACTGGAGTAGGGGCTGATAGACCCGAGGGCAGGTAGGTCGCAGAGGGGTGGCTGTAGCTGGGGGCTAGGCTGGTCTGGGGAGGGTACGTGCTTGGGGGATAGTTATAGACAGGTGTGGTGGGGCTATAGCTGGGCACCAGAGTGGGGGTGGACTGGAGAGTGTGCAGGGAGGCAGGGGGAAGTGCTGCGCTGGGTTGGGGACAGTACCCTGAGGAGAGATAGGTGCCATTGTAGCTGGAGGGGTACTCGCTGGAGCCACTGCAGGAGCTGCTGCCGCTGTAGCCGGAGTCTGAGAGGTTACTGTTCACCACAGACACACTGCTAACTCCTGGAGGGCCCGCGGACGTGGCTACAACCTTGGAGCCTGAGAGGCTGTCATGTCCTCCCGGGGGCACCAGGGAATAGGAGGCATCAGTGCTGTGCGTCAGTGGCCAGGGCTCCAGCTCAGTCTTGTGGCCATTGAGGCTCCCAAAGGTTCCTGGCTCTGGATAGGTGCCGACGGTAGGTGGCCGGTCATACGGTGAGTCCAGCACGCCAGCGTACTTCTCAGCATAGCGCTTCAACAGGTTGGAGGCTGTCAAGGCGGAGATGTCGTCATTGGCCCAGGCGTAGTTGTAGGAGCCGCGGCTGCGGCCAGAGTAAAACTCCGACTTGTGGGCCGGAGAGGAGGTGGTGGAGGAGACGTCCAGGTGCTGCTCAGGCCACTGGCTGAGAGGCTGGGCATGCTCTGGGTTCCAGTGCATCTTCAACAGACCTGACAAAAGAAACACACACATATGTATTACATTTTGAACTTGACAAACCGGAGACGCGGTATGCAATCAAAATGCTTTGTTTACCACTACATGTGCCTCAGACTCAGCAACATTTGGCCTGACAGCATTTGTCACGACCAGGAATTTATGATTATCATGAACACGACCTCCAACCAAAAATAATAGCCTACATTTAGCTTGATATAGATTAGTAAACAAACAGAAGTTTAGACTCTCTTCCATGACTGTTCACTATCATGTGACAGTGACACATGGTCTAAGCTGCAGTGACAAAAAATGGCCTTTCTTCTGTTTGGAAATGAATCTTTTTTCATTCATGCTTGGTGGCGGTGGTGGGGGGGGGGGTCAAATTTCCCAGAGAGGGAGAGGAAGGTAAAGGGGAGGCGGATGGAGACAGAGAATGCTGCAGAAAGAGAAAGAGTGAAAGCAGATCGGTAGAAGCTGGATGTGTTGTTTTGCAGTTTCCCAGCTTATGTGGGAGTAGCGATAAGATCCCACTACTATTCCCCATACTGCTAGCATCTGCAGGTCTCCCAGAGGAGCTATTGTTATCTCCCTGTGCATGTTGCTCTGAATGCCTGCTCTCTCCGCCCTGCACCCCCACCTACCACCCACCAATCCACCCACCCACCGTACACCAGAGCTCCAAAGGCCCAGTGGCCGGCTGGACAGAGGGAGGGAGGGAGGGAGGGAGAGGGGAAGGAGTGTGTGTGTGTGTGTGTGTGTGTGTGTGTGTGTGTGTGTGTGTGTGTGTGGACAGTGGTGTAGAGAGAGTGAGAAAGAAAGGAGGAAAAAAGAAAGAGGGGGGTTGGGGTTGGAATTGCAGCATAGTGTGCTATTCATCAGCACAGTCTCCCATGGAACATTGGGAAAGTGGAATGTCTGTTCCTCTGGCTGACTTCAGCACAGGCCGAGGTCTGATTGATCATGGCTGCTACGCACTGAGCACATTGGCAGGCTAACAGGAGAGAAGGCAGCCGGGCAAAAAAAAAAAAGAAAAAAAAAAAAGGTATTTTGATCCATTAATTGTTTTTCCCTCCATGTCCCCTCATGAAAACATCTTATCTTCCTCTGAAATGTTAAGCTGGCATTGCATTTGAAATGTGTGGAACATGCACATACCAAGCTCCTTTAGGGTTGCAACTAACAATCATTTTCATTATCGATTCTTTTTTTTTTGATTAATCAATTAATTGTTTTGTCTATAAAAAGCCAGAAAACAGTGAAAAATGCCCGTAGTAATTCCCCACAGACCAAGGTAAGGTCTTCTAATGTCTAAAACCCAAAGATATTCTGTTTACCATCATGTACAACAAAGAAAAAATCATCACATGTGATGCCCGCATGTGAAATGCATCTGCTAATTTTCAGTGTTCACGTGCTTCTCTTTACCCTGTCAAGCCCATTTTACATGTGTATGAACCAAATACATCACAATATCATAGTTATAGATTCATCTATTTCATGGAGACTAGCACCACCTCTTGCTGAGGCATTAGCTTGACATTCCACACATAGCTTGGCATTATTGAACTGCTACGATTTACCCTGAGGTGACGACTACTCCAGCAAGAACAGGGAGGTAAAAAGGAATATGGCGAAAGCTGTCATTACTGGCCTCTCTGCCTTCCCTTCAGTGGACGCCTGATGATTCATTATTCATGGCTGTCTGTGTGTGTGGAGCCAGGCTTCTTATTGCCATTTAAATCAAATCTCAATATCCACAGCCTGTGATTTTGCTGCTGCTCTCCCTCTCTCAAGCTCACTCCTAAACTTTGGCCTCTTTCTTTCCCCCCGCTTTCCAAACCTCCCCATGTGTATTTTCAGATTATGCCTGTTATTTATTCAGTCAAATGAGACCAGCAGACCAGATGGCCGTTGGATTATCATGTCCTTCATATTCAAATCCACTGCCTTAAGTTCCCAATGGCCAAACCAGTTCAAGTACTTCCCTAAGCTTCAGCCAACCCACACAGCCACACACCCACCACAGCAAGCTGTACAAGAACATTCTCACAATCTTGTATTTTTACAAACATGCTGAAGACATTGGCTTGTCCACACCCAGATTACCACATATTTTTGTGGTCTGACTTGCAGGTCTTTGTCCAGCCTGCAGAAACCATATATGTCCTGCAGGCCCTTCCCATCTGCAGCCCAACCAGTTTGTGAGCAGCCCCAATAATGGGGCCTGTGTGTGACAGAGATGGATGAGAGCCCAGGGGAGCTCATAAAACCTGCAGCGGGGAGGGAGGGAGGGATGGAGGGATGGAGGGATGGATGGAAGGAGGGAGGGATAGAGGGAGGGGAAAGAGCGGACAGCAGGCGCTTCGTCCTCTCTAAGCGGACTGGAGCGGACATTAGAGGACTCAGTGAGGCGGGCTAACTGCTGTCCACTCCATCATCAGAGTAGCACCAGCACAGAATGGACTTCTCTCACACTACCCTCCCACCCTCCCACCCACTGACCAATGTAATGACCAGCTGCCAATACCTGAGGAACCAGTTCACTGTTTTCATTTCTACAAGTCTTTTAAAAAAAAAGTGCATTATTCTGTGTAATTCTCTCTGTATGCGCACGGTGAGTTTGATGAGTGACCGGCCGCCACTCACCCCTGATGAACACAGCAGGGTTGCAGTGCAGTTCAGCCCTTTCCATGTAATTAGATCTTGCCTTCTGCTGGATTGTGGTTTTCAGAGCAGTAGCGCTCCACAATAAACTGAGCAAGCTCTAATCTACACTTCTACTTAAATCAGAGCCATCATGTAGATTAATTCACTGGAGGGCGAGGAAGAAAGCTAAGATTAGAAGTAGGAAATCAGGACAATGTGAGCAGACTGTGGGTAGCAGTGCAATCATTAGATTGACTCCAGTATATGTTTCAGTGCAATGCTAGACTGTAAATTATCCTATAAGACACTGAATCAAGACAATACACTGCTAATATAATTTGTGAATTTTCATTTCCAGCTCCAACATTGTGACATTTCCCTTTCCTGCTTCACCCCCATCAACACGCTCTCAATCATATTAGAGGAGGATTACGGATGAAAAACACATTGTTTAAGCACGGACCGGGACATCGTGATGTTTGAAACTGGGAATCGTGTCCTCATCCGATTGATCTGGAAGCTTTTGTAGCCACTGTTAGCAAAAGTAAAGCTGCTCTGCTCTGGTCACAAGGTCGGTGAACGAGTATTTAATATCTTTAATCATTCATTAGTAGCATTGTTAATTTCATATTAAACAAAATTACAGAAATTGGTTGCAGTGACCAAGTTCAGTATACTTAAATATGTGCAGAGGCTGCTTTTCTATTGGTTGTTTCTATTGTTGGTTTCACTTGGCTGCAAGGAGGTTGATAAGAACCTTGTTTCGTGCACATGAAACTTCCCACTGTTTGTGTGTGTGTGTGTGTGTGTGTGTGTGTGTGTGTGTGTGTGTGTTCTTGGCCCCAGGAGAGACAGATGTTCTTCTGCTGACCGCCTTACTGTCTGTGCGGCCATTGTGGTGGACGGCCGTCCAGCAGACGTGCACGGCTCGGACAATCCAGTTGGCCCTGAGACAAAGCCTGAAGGATCCTATTGTCAGGGGCCTGTCTAATTATGGAAATCTTATTAATCTATTCAGCAGCAGTCCACTGACAGCTTTTGTGTTAGCCTGGGATTTATTGAGGGACCTGTGTGAGCTGCATCCTATTGTAGGAGTGCGTGATGAAGACAGTGGCACGGCCCTCTTCAGCAGAAACCTGCTTTACTTTGAGGCGACCCTAAAATTAAAATTAGACCACTTATGGCTCAGGGGGAGTGTGTTAGGTTCATCTGTGATTTCTGCCCTCGAATGCTCTAATTTAGTTTCTACAAAGTCACTGAATCTCATGTTGACTGGGTGAAACCGAAGTAGCTTCTGGCCAATAAAGGCTGGTAGTACTCTAGACTGTGTTGTGGTTTCCTATAAAAGAAGTATCAGTGGGTGAGGTGAAACGTTATCTTGGCAGGAGGCCCAGAGGCTCCAGTGCCGTTTCACAGCTCCCCTGAGGTTGCTTTCCCCTTCTCCCTTCCCGGCACTTTTGTTTTCCCTGCCCCGAGGAACAAAACGGACACGGATGCAACAAGCCTTCTGGGACAGTGTGCTATTAAACTGTGCCGACTGTGAAGAGGCCGCTTGTAAACAAGAGCGCTGTGGATCAATCCAATCAGGACTCTATTCGGGGTTGAGCTCTACCCCCAAACACTGACCAGAGAAAGCACCGCCGCTCCATCGCACACCTCCACACAGAGGCACAAATTAGGTAGAGCAACGTGTCTCTAAAACCTACCTCATACTTTGGTCATAATTTATTATAAAACATTAATATCAAGAGCTAGCGTGACGCAGGCCTGCAGATGGTTGCTCAGCTGGTCAACTTCAAATTTACAATATACACACACACACACACACACACACACACACACATATATATATATAGGTATCAGAATTCAAGTCAAGAATTTCAGCTGGAAAATAACAAGTTAAACAAGTTAAAGCTAAAACTTTCCCTCTGCTCTAAATGAAACTGTTGACCCCAATGGCTTCCACAGCGCAACAGCCATTCTGTCTGTTCAACAAGGAGGTGAAATGTATTGAAAAAGATATCAACATAAACAGTTACAAAATGCTTTCAATGACTCGAAGCAAAAAGCTGCACAGAGGGCAGAGTCGAACTGTTTTGAGAATGCTGCTCCGGCTGTTGTGGCAGTATGTCAGGGATTCAATTTAGACATCGTCTCAGAAACAGACACTTCAGAAAAAAAAAAAGAAAAGAAAAAAGCTTGGAATGAATGCACTTACAACACAAAGCACACAGCCGTACCTAAGGGGAATGACAGGCAGAAAGTGGAGAGAAGGGCAGAGTGTGACAGACACTATATTTGTGCTGATAAATCACAAACTTGAGGCTTTGATGATTGCTTCAGTTGTTATGTATTCAGCAAGCGC